TATATAATTTTTTTCAGAGAAAAATTAAGGCATCTCAACAAGATTTGGCTTTAGGCCACAACCTACGTTGAGTTGCCCATGTGGCTAGCTGTTAGCCCCTTGACAAAGGTCCTCGGCAGGTGTGGGTTGTGACAAGTATTTTCATGATGGACTTGGCACACAACCTGAAAATTGGGACAACATCATGACGGGCAGCTCGGCATGACGGACTATGCGGGGTTTGACAAAGGCACCTTGAACAGAAGCAAGGCGCATTTTGCTTAGACGTGCGGGTTGGCGAAACAATGGCAAGGAAAAGCCATGTCGAGTAGGGGCAAAGACATGGCAAGGCAAGGCAAGGCAATGCGGGGCAAGAAATGGCAATTGATGCGGGCAGATTTGATCAAGTTGGGGGCGACTTGACATGAGCGGACAGTTGTGGAAATGAATGTGTGCGGCAAAGTCAGCGGGTGACGAGCAGTGGCCATGGCATTGGCGCGGAGCAGTGTCAAGGGCAAGGCTGGGCGCAATGCCAGCCTTGGGCACAAGGCAGCTGGTCGAAATTGGCACATGCTGTGCACAAGCAGCAGTTGGAAAGCATGTGCAAAGCACATGGGAAGCAGTTGGCAGTTGCAACCTCTCCCAAGACATGCTGATCATGGCCTAAAAGTGTGCCCACGTTTTTGTACATTGTCCTAACATGTTTGCCCATCAGTTGGGGCTTGTCAACTGATTGTAGCATATAAATAAGTGCCTAGTTTGTCTGAAAACGGGCAGAACTTAGTCTAAGGCATTGTGTTAGCCAAAATTCATCTAAGTCATTTCCTAAGGGTGGGAAAATCATTTTGGGGCAGGGAATTAGGGAATTCTTTGTCTTGGCCATAGGGTTGGCTATTGTGTTCTTATATTACGTGTTGGGAAGAAATTCCTGTATATCGTGTGTGCCTTTTACTATTTTTGCTGCCTATTTTCATTCTAAGTTTCAAACGTCCCTAAAATAAAACTAAGTGTTGGAAAGGCTGAAGTCAAGGTTGGGCTTGACTGCCGCACGGAGGTGAACCCCAGGCAGGAATTCGAGTGACATAAATCACCCCTGTGACAACTGGTATTAGAGCGTGGCTGGATTGGGGTGGAGACATAATCTTCAGTGGCAGAATTTTGTGAAGAATGGAAGGTGGCAACGCAGAACTGAAGGAAAAGGTTGCTACATTAGAGGCACTCGTCGGAACTGTTGATGGGGATCAATTTCTGACTATCATGACTCGTCTTGCCTATCTTGAGGGTGAGTTGAACAGGCTGAGCCAGGAGTGCACAGATTTGAAAACGGAAAATGGGTTGTTGCGTCATGCTGTTGGCAATGATGAAGCACAGCATGGGGCAGATCGTTCGAGGGTCAAAATTCCGGAGCCTAAAGAGTTTAATGGTCCAAGGAGTGCCAAGAAACTCGAAAAGTTCCTGTGGGATATGGAGCAGTACTTCCATGCGGCCAAGGTGCAAGGAGTGCCAAGAAACTCGAAAAGTTCCTGTGGGATATGGAGCAGTACTTCCATGCTGCCAAGGTGCAAGATGAAGACAAGGTCACCATTACGACTATGTATTTGGTGGACAATGCAAAGCTTTGGTGGAGGACGCGCGTGGCAGATGATGTGAGTGCTGGTAGGCCAAAGATTGACTCCTGGGAAGAGCTGAAGAAAGAGTTGAAGGATCAATTCTTTCCTAGCAATGCGGGCTGGATTCCTAGAGATCGTTTGAAGAAGTTGAAACAAACTGGAACGGTCAGGGAATATGCCAAAGATATAAGCAACATGTCTGAGGAAGACAAGCTGCATAATTTCCTTTACGGGTTGCAGTCGTGGGCACAAATGGAACTACGAAGGCAGAATGTGAAAGACCTTCCTAGTGCCATTGCTGCTGCGGATGCGTTGGGTGATTTTCGGTTGGGACAAGATGGTTCTGATTTCTCTACTACTTCAAACTCCAAAAACGGAAACAAGGACAAGGCAAAAGAGTGGAGGAAAAACGGAAACGACAAGGGAAATGCTGTTGAGGGCAATGGCAATGAGAAGGGAAAGCAATGTGCTGGACCTTCGACAAACAAGGGACAAAACAACAAGTTTGATGGCTGTTTTATTTGCAAAGGACCACACATGGCGAGGGACTGTCCAAGAATTGAAAAGCTTTCCGTATTGTTTGCTGAAGAAAAATGTGAAGATGAGCCAAACGAGGAAGAACATGAGCAAGCAACAACATATATAGGGCCTATGGTGGTGCTGAAAAATGCGGAAGCTACTTCGTCGAGGACGACGAATTCTTCTAGTGGGGGTGGTTTGTTAGCCCCTTGACAAAGGTCCTCGGCAGGTGTGGGTTGTGACAAGTATTTTCATGATGGACTTGGCACACAACCTGAAAATTGGGACAACATCATAACGGGCAGCTCGGCATGACGGACTATGCGGGGTTTGACAAAGGCACCTTGAACGGAAGCAAGGCGCATTTTACTTAGACGTGCGGGTTGGCGAAACAATGGCAAGGCAAAGCCATGTCGAGCAGGGGCAAAGACATGGCAAGGCAAGGCAAGGCAATGCGGGGCAAGAAATGGCAATTGATGCGGGCAGATTTGATCAAGTTGGGGGCGACTTGACATGAGCGGGCAGTTGTGGCAATGAACGTGTGCGGCAAAGTCAGCGGGTGACGAGCAGTGGCCATGGCATTGGCGCGGAGCAGTGTCAAGGGAAAGGCTGGGCGCAATGCCAGCCTTGGGCACAAGGCAGCTGGTCAAAATTGGCACATGCTGTGCACAAGCAGCAGTTGGAAAGCATGTGCAAAGCACATGGGAAGCAGTTGGCAGTTGTAACCTCTCCCAAGACATGTTGATCATGGCCTAAAAGTGTGCCCACATTTTTGTACATTGTCCTAACATGTTTGCCCATCATTTGGGGCTTGTCAACTGATTGTAGCCTATAAATAAGTGCCTAGTTTATCTGAAAACGGGCAGAACTTAGTCTAAGGCATTGTGTTAGCCAAAATTCGTCTAAGTCATTTCCTAAGGGTGAAAAAATCATTTTGGGGCAGGGAATTAGGGAATTCTTTGTCTTGGCCATAGGGTTGGCTATTGTGTTCTTGTATTCACATATTAATACGAGTTGGGAAGAAATTCCTGTATATCGTGTGTGCCTTTTACTGTTTTTGCTGCCTATTTTCATTCTAAGTTTCAAACGTCCCTAAAATAAAACTAAGTGTTGGAAAGGCTGAAGTCAAGGCTGGGCTTGACTGCCGCACAAAGGTGACCCTCGGGCAGGAATTCGAGTGACATAAATCACCCCTGTGACACTAGCCATGATTTGATAAAAAAGACCCTCTCTATTTCTAATTGAAATCCATCCGCTCCATACTAATAACCACACGTTCAAAAAAATTGACCCATTCCACCACTTAGATTCTATGTGTCGAGATGGTAACTAGGATCAGTTTCAATCTTGAAGTATTATCTTGTTCAATTCTTTCATGTGCCTCATGATGACTGAATCTAGCAGTTTATGTTTTGCAGTACACACGACTACCAATCCAAAGTGTTAACCAAATAGAGGCATAGTCTACGGTAGGGGCGGCAAATGTGCGGGTCGGGTCGGGTCGGATACGAACGGATCAAAATGAGTAATTCAAAAACGGATAAATTATTTGACTCGAACCATATTTAATACAGATAATAAACGATTTACCCAGCGGATAATATGGGTAACCATATTATTCATGACTTCTTGAATATAATCATTTTTTTGGAGTATTCCTAATCTCCCAAACTTGAAGAATTATTTTAAATTTGGATTTAATTTTTCTTAATAGTGCAATAAATTTTATAAATCATAAATGTTAGTAATTGAAATAAAGCCCAAATCAAAGTCAAATCAATACTAATGCTAGCAAAACAAATTTAATTCAACACTAAGTGTGACAATACTATTGAATGTCTATTTTTTAGTTTTGCATTTGTTTAGGCAGTGAAAACGCATAATTTATTTTTACTTTATTTGTTTAGTATTTAATCGTGTAATAAATACTCATTAGCCTTACTTATTTTAGCATACCTTAATACTGTTAGATCATGATCATTTTATTTTTTATTGTTGAATATTTTAGTACAATGTCATGATTCAACTTATATTTTGTGTTGTTTTCTTGAAAAATACCTTATACAATTATATCTTACTAGGACTAAAAAAATAATTTTTGGAGTACATACGTATTTTGTGCTATGAAGACTTAACTGGGAAAAATACTCAAAAACATGAGAAAAATCGAGATTGAAAGATCTGACTTTGTTGATTTGAATTGATTTATGATTTAAACATTCGAAACAATTGGTTTGATTTAGTAATTGAAAAACCTGAAATCAACCAGACCTCTGTACACCCTTAACTAGCCATTCAAAATGATAAAATTTGATCTCTTATGTTTGATGACAGGTTTAAAGTAATCTCTTAAATATGCACTGAGCATTTTTTGTCCTTTAAGTTTGCTAAAACTTAGCACTTCTGGTCTCCGAAAAATATTTAACAATTTATGTCCATTAGATTTGACGAAAAATGTAAAAAAGATTAATCTTTTAAAAAAAGAAAAGCCCCATCAAATCCTAAATAATAGAAATACAAAAAACTACACTAGACACAAAAAAGATACCAAAAATAGCTGAAAATCGCACCTCAAAAAGCTGCAACAAACTCTTAAAAATAGAAATAGCAGAAAATACAAAATTGCACATTTAAATGTGAGTTCGTGCTATTTTTTTTTAATTTTTCCCTCTATTCCTATCAAATCTAATAGATAGTTTTCCTTAAATATTTGATGGAGACAAAAAATATTAGATTATGGTAAACCTAAACAACTAAAATTGCTCACTTTAGAGACTACTTTGAACCAAGTCTTAAACATAAGGGACCATTTTGTCATTTTCTCAATAAATTTCACTCCCTGCCGTTGCTGTCGCTTTCTCTTTGCCCTACTCTCTTGTCACTTCTCATTGATCGAAACTCCTTTGGAAACGTGCGCCCTTTTTTCTTTCACTCGACAGTTATGCACTAACTCCCAAACTCACTCACTCAATCTCACTGCCACAGACTCCTCATCACTCTCTCTTCTTCCTCCTAACCCCCCAACCAAAATATACATACACATTTCTACATCTCTACATCACATTTTGCATTGTTCAAATGAAGTTACTTCATTGTCCTTCGATCTCTACCTGCAAACCTAAACTCCATTCCCAAAATTATCCTTTTTCGAGGAGGAACAGAGTTGATTTTGTGAGTATTGGAAGAAAATCGAGGATTTCAGTGGCGGTAGTAAATGCGGCTGCTGATAGTGGACGAGGAGCTAAAGCGGAGACTGCGGCCACGGCGGTGGTGGTGGAGGAGAAGCCGATGGTGGAACGACGACGTTTTGAGGTTCTACCAGGGAAACCTTTGCCGTTTGGCGCTACTGCAACAGACGGCGGTGTCAATTTCGCCGTTTTTTCGAGTAATGCCACTTCTACTACTCTTTGCTTGATCACTCTCTCCGATTTACCTCAGGTAGTTCTCCGGCTAAATATTATTTCTTTTTTACGCTCTATTCCAATTTATGTTACATAGTTTTAATCGGCACCAGTATAAGAAATACAGAATTGTTTTTGAAACTTATGATCATAAGGAAATAGTGTCACATAAACTAGAAAACATGGAGCAAATTTAACTTTACACCACATTTTAACCTTAAAGAGATTTTTTCTTGCCTCGAGAAATTTTCAGTTTCAAATGTAGCTTCTTTTAATTTTATTTTGTCTTTTTTAAGGTTCATCCCTTTGGCCCAAGTAGCTGATGATCTGTATACAAATTCAATTAAAGGAATATTTTTTCATGTTAGCAATTTAATAAATAAATTCAACACTGTTTCTTCTTTTTTCCTTTAATGATGGTGGTGTTTGGGCTAGTTTGTATGCATCTCGACTGGTTCACCTGATACTTGTTACCTCGTACCAGCACAGGTATTGGGTAACTCTGCCCACCAAGGCTTGGGCAAATGGAAAGAGATCTTCCTAGCCTTTTTGCTTTCGCTGGATTGAAGAACCTGAGACCTCATGGTTCTCTCGACCACCACACCCTTGGGTGCTTATCAACACTTTTTCTTAGTTGTGCTTCATTTATATCCTATATTTTCTCCTGATATTTGTAGCTTCCTGGAAGTAAAAAGTTATGTTGGACTCTCTAAAATGCTGTCGCACCCGTGTCGGATCTTCCAAAAATGCACTACATTTGGAGGATCTGGCATGCATCCGGTGACATTTTCGGAGAGTCCGAGCAACATAGGTAAAAAGCCTAGTATAACTGACTATTTTTTCTGAAGAGCAGTTTTTCTTGTAACACTTTTAAGTCCTAATTTACAATGGATTTTCCCATGGTGCCTCATCGAGGATAGTGGCACTTGTATTAAGTAAAAGAATATTAAAGTTGGAGGAAAGTATTTTATTTTCCCATCAGAAAGTTCACTTCCCTTTTTTTCCTTTCTTTTTTTCCTCCTTTTTTTCCTTTCTGATTTTGATGTTTCATGATGTATTATATCATCTAAATGAAAATGCTCAATCTCTAGCTTAAATGAGGGATGCCATTTTTCCATTGTGTGATAAATCAATCAATAACTCTTCAATCTCAAGTTAATCAGGATCGGTTATAATCACCTATATCTATTCTTCTCCATTCAGGTTCATTTCACTCCAATACTATAATAATTCTCCTTTGAAGACAAATTTGGCGACTTCTAGATCTTGTACTTATCCCTACACTTATAATTAGTTTAATCCTAACTAGTTTGTATCACTTGAATTGTTCCTTTGCTTCCGTTGTGTTCTGCTCTTAGTTAAGTCTGGTTTAATTTCGAGAAATTTAGGTCTTCTTAGGAAACTTCTTTCCTTTTCATTCTTATTATACTGTGTAGTTATGAGATATAGATGGGCTTACAGCGTAAATTCCTCTAAAAAGATTATCTTCTACTCCCTCCGGTCCAAAATAAGTGATTTTTTGCATGTTTTCACATAGATTAAGAAATCCACCTTTTAGCATTAATTAGCAATAAAATTGACCATATTAACCTTTACTATCTCACATAAACACTCCTAACACATGTTCCAACAGTATTTACTCCAAGGACAATGTAGGAAAAAAATAATTAATTCATTCTTGAAATCTGGAAAAATAATTATTTTGGACCACAAGAAAAAGCCAAAAAATCACTTATTTTGGACCGGAGGGAGTAATATTTACGCTAAGACATCTTTTGGGGCTAGCTGTAACATAGCAGGAGAAAGTTTTTAAGTTATATCCTTCAATACGCCATAGCACATCTGGCTTGTTTGTAATTTCAGTTTTTCACCTATTATTAACTCTTGCAGAAGAGAGTGACCGTACAAATTTCCCTGGATCCTCTGGCTAATAAAACTGGAGATGTCTGGCATGTGTTCCTTAAGGGAGATTTCGAAAATATGCTTTATGGCTACAAGTTTGATGGAAAATTCTCTCCTGAAGAAGGACATTTCTTTGACTCTTCTCAAATAGTGTTGGATCCTTATGCCAAGGTCAGATAACTATAAAGTAAGAAAAAATTTCTGTCAATATGAGTCTGTTATTTCTTATTCAGACTATGCTTTCTTATTACAAATGATCTCTACTGGTACATTTCATTATTACGTTCTTTTGGCCTGCCCTGAGTCATTCTTGAATTTCCATCTAGGCTACAGTAAGTAGAGGAGAATATGGTGTATTAGGGCCAGAGGATGATTGTTGGCCCCCAATGGCTGGCATGGTACCTTCTGCTGCTGATCAGGTAACTACAGTTTCTTAGGGCTCAGCGTAATCGTATATATGATCTGGTTCTTTGTTATTTTTGTGTTAGTTTTACTTTTCGAGCTAACTATGGAATTGGCCATAACATGTTTGAAAGACCACAATCACCAAAAAGCATTGTCGTGGTTGCCTTCCCTACAGAAAAAATAATGGGTGGCTTCATTACTGTCCTCAACTTAGATGAGACATGGGAATATATGGTTATGTTTGTTTTAACATGTCTGTTTTACTGTTTGATCTTTGTTATTTTCAGTTTGACTGGGAAGGAGATCTACCACTGAAGTTTCCACAGAGAGATCTTGTAATTTATGAAATGCACGTTCGTGGATATACAAATCATGAGTCGAGCGGAACAAAATTTCCTGGTACTTACCGTGGTGTTGTGGAGAAACTTGATCACTTGAAGGTGAATGCTTGGTTGTTATAATAGTATATGTTATGGCCTGTAACGTTAGCATATGATCGGTTTTTCAGGAGTAAGTTTTAGTTTTTCTGACATTATTAGTTCAAGATCACTTTTGGACACACCAAAATTTGAGGAGGTTCATGCAAATGTTTTTCCCCTTTCATCTTATTGTAAGGGTCGACATTCATATATTGCATTGGAAGGGTTTTTGGCTTTTATCAATAGTTAAGTGATGGACCATTGGCCCAAAATTTTCTCTTTAAGTAAACTAGTGTATGAGAATTATAGTTGTGAAATTAGATGGCAAACATCCTGTGCAAAATTGAAAGCCTATGCCTTAGACGGATATGGATCATGATTCATAAGTCATCTTGTTACCTTTCTTAATGCATAAGTGAAAGTGAAGGCGTCAGCTGGTTATGAGGTTTAAGAGTGGTTTATTTCCTGATATATTTGCAGGAACTTGGTGTCAACTGTATAGAGCTAATGCCCTGTCACGAGTTCAATGAGCTGGAGTACTATAGTTATAACTCTGTATTGGGTGACTACAAGTAAACTTCCCTTTTCACTTCTCGCAAAGAGTTACTTTCACACTTCGAAATTGTTGGTCTAGGAACATTAGAGAAGTTTTAACATGTAAGACTATACATATGTTATAGCACATCTAATATTTGAAATGGAAATGATTAAAAATTTGAATTTCAAACTCATAACTCTCTTACTTGGATGAATTTCTTGCATTTCTCTTCTAAACAGGAGTGAATTTCTAGTTTCTGGACCAAAAAAAAATGGTATTCTAATAAGCTTATGTCATGCTTGAGTACAACAACAACAACAGCCCAGTGTAATCCCACAAGTGAGGTCTGGGGAGGGTAGGATGTACGCAGCCTGGAATAAGAGTGTTAAAGCCTGCATCGGTGTGGCTATGTTTTGGTACTGGATTCAATTGCTACTTTTTGCCAAAATTAGTTCTAGGTTTATTATTATTATTATTATTATTATTATTTTTGCATAAATATTTTTCTTAGAATAAACCCCACAAGATAGTTTTAGGTTTATTAGTTGAAAGAACTTCAATTAACGTGTAAGTGAGGCAGAACCTCGTGATAGGAGGCTAAGTTGCTCGGGCACGGTTGCGGATCTAGAGGTCGGATCTTCGAGATGTAAATTCTGAGATTCGGGGATACGGATACGGGTGCGGGGATCCAGCTAAAAATAATTCAAAAAAATAAAAATATAGAAATATCTCTAAATTATGAGAGATTTTGTGGAATACTTACGTATAGCTTGTAAAGTGTGGATTTCCTTTTTATTCTCAAGTTGTAGATAAGTAAAGGATTGATCTCCTAGATAAGTTATGCTATTTTCTTCAAATTTACCCTAGTTTTGGTTCTAATTTCGTGAATCAAATTGTATCTCGTCTCGGATTTTTCTATCCAACGTGGTCAAAGTACCCAAAATTGTTTGACCAGATTCGGTACGGATCCTATACGCACACCCATACTAGTGTCGTGTCGACACGGGTGCGGCACCTTAACTGTCATGTCGGAACAACTTAGATAGGAGGTGGTTATTTTTTCCTTCTCTTCTGGGGTGGGGAATTCAAAAGTAACTAACTGATGTTGTCCCCTATTTTGATTTGGGGAGGGGATTCTTTTTGTTCTTTTTTCTTTTGAGGCAGGGAAAGTGGTACGACGATTCTGAAATTAAATTAATTGATGCTGCTCTCAATTCCAATTATTGACATGGTGTCCTAGTTGGGTATAACTGATGGGACAAGTCTAGCTCATAAAGACTGATTAAGGATCTCCCATTTGAAAAAGAAGAGTGATAAAGAATCTCTTCATGCTTACTATCTAAAACTGTTAGATGGCTCAGAAAGATAAAAGACAAGCGAAAGGAAGAAGTTGAAGAGAGATTCTATGAGAAGCGTAGACAACATATTTTTGAAAGTCCTCTGAGAATGATGTGCAATGATTGCCAGCAGAATGTTCTTGCATGCAAGGGTTGGGACAGTTAATTTGATTGTCTCTTTTGCATTGAGCCCATATATGAAATTTGAACCTGATTTTTCTGCATTGGGTAGTGCGACAATGATGCTAAGATCATATGATGATAACAGTCACACACCTACATTTGAAGATAATTTACGCTTAATTAGACAACAGTGTTATTAAAAGCGCTCGCTTCTCGCTTTAAGCGCTGAAGCGACGCGAGGCGCAGGGCTATCGCTTTTCTGCTACAAAAGCGACTCACATTTAAAAAGCGCTCGCTTCTCCCGCTTAAGCGAGAAGCGCCTCGATGGAAAAGCGATAAAAAAGCGTGCTTAAGCGAGCAAGAAGGCATCTGCTAGGGTTTTTAAAATTTTTTTTGGCAAATAAGCCATCTGTTAACAAATAAACATACGCTCTTCAACGACTTCTTCTCCAGTGAACTCCAGCGACGACGAAGTCCAGTTCTCGGTTAGTTTCTTCAACGACTTCTTCTTTTCTTCTTCTTCTGTTCTTCTTCTTCTGTTCTTCTTTCAATTTTTTTCACTTTTAAGCGCTGATTTTGTGCCCTAAACGACTTCTTCTTCTTCGGTTCTACTTTGTGCTCTGTTTTATGCTTTATGCTCTGTTTTCTGCTTTATCATCTCCTTTATGCTCTGTTTTCTGGTTCGTGTGAATTAACTGTTATTTTTTTTTTTTGGTTGTTGATTGTAGTAAATTTAATTTGATTATTCAATGGCATCAAGCCAAAAAAGCCAAAAATTTATTTGCTTCTTGATTCAAGAATTGAAACATTTGCTTAATATGTTATTTTTAATGAGTTCTTAGCTATTTATCTATGCCTAATTTTTTTTTATTTATGTGTTAAATTGCGCTTCACATGAAAAAAGCGCGCGCTTCGCTTCCCGCTTTTCGCTTCGGTGAAGCGAGGCCTCGTCGCTTTTTTGCGCTTAACGCTTTCCAAAACACTACTTAATTAGACAATAAGACTGAACATGGCATAATTGACTTCCGAACTTATTCATTGTGTTCTAAGCTGCTTGTACATTACTAGATAGTAGCTACACAATGCTAATGATATCCCTTTAGTCAGTGGTATATATCCTTGACAGTGGCTTAACATATTTCTTTTTTCACAGGGAGTTGATGAGTATGTTACTCATCGTATTGGAGTGGGTGGATTAAATGGAGACTCGCATCCGGTGTTTTATGTGATAAGAATGTGCCACTTAAACTTAAGGGTAAGTTTTACAGAGTGGTTGTCAGACTTACCATGTTGTACGGAGCAGAGTGTTGGCCAATCAAGAACTCTCATGTCCAGAAGATAAAAGTAGCGGAAATGAGGAGGGGATGTGCAGACATACCAGGATTGATAAGATTAAAAATGAAGATATTCGGGACAAGGTAGGAGTAGNCACCACCAAGTTCGCACATCAAACCGGGGCGAAACTCCCCTATATAGCTGGTTTACGGTACAAAGGCAGTTATTCCCGCCGAAGTAGAAATTTCTTCCTTAAGGATTATGCAAGAAGCTGAGCTCGACGACGCAGAATGGGTGAAGAGTCATTACGAACAGCTAGCTCTTATAGATGGAAAAAGAATGAATGCAGTTTGCCATGGTCAGCTTTATCAGAACAGAATGTCCAGAGCCTTCAACAAGAAAGTCAAGCCGAGACAGTTCACACCGAGACAGCTGGCATTAAAGAAAATCTTCCCGCATCAAGATGAAGCCAAAGGGAAATTCTCACCCAACTGGCAAGGTCCATACATGGTTCACCGGGTTCTGACAGGAGGAGCCCTTATACTTGCAGAAATGGACGGAGAAGTTTGGCCGAAACCGATTAATTCGGATGTAGTCAAGTGCTATTATGTGTAATCTTTGTGCTATATGATGTATTTTGAACTACGTCTGACCTGATTCCCGTTTAAGAGGGAATACGTAGGCAGCCTTATGGGTTCGGTCACAATTCAATAAAATTTTCACTTCCCCCGCAATTGGAAACTGGGGAAGAATTTTGAGGAGGACCCTCAAAATTCCGAAGTAACTTCAGGCAGTCATCGCAAGCAACCGTCAGAAGCAGCAACCCATTAAACTGGGGAAGAATTTTGAGGAGGACCCTCAAAATTCCGAAGCAAGGAGGTTGGGACGTCTCAAAATGCATCACAGTCACCAGTTCATCAAAACTATTTTATCTCGTGCATTATCACATATTTCAAATAACTTACATTTCTACAAATAATTTGCCAAATGCATGCATGTTTTTTAGTCAGTGGTATATATCCTTGACAGTGGCTTAACATATTTCTTTTTTCACAGGGAGTTGATGAGTATGTTACTCATCGTATTGGAGTGGGTGGATTAAATGGAGACTCGCATCCGGTGTTTTATGTGATAAGAATGTGCCACTTAAACTTAAGGGTAAGTTTTACAGAGTGGTTGTCAGACTTACCATGTTGTACGGAGCAGAGTGTTGGCCAATCAAGAACTCTCATGTCCAGAAGATAAAAGTAGCGGAAATGAGGAGGGGATGTGCAGACATACCAGGATTGATAAGATTAAAAATGAAGATATTCGGGACAAGGTAGGAGTAGCCTCGATGGAGGAGAAGAAGCGAGAAGCGAGGCTTAGGTGGTTTGGGCATGTGAAGAGGAGAAGCCTAGATGCTCCGGTGAGGAGGTGCGAGAGATTGACCCAGTGTTTTGGAAAGCGTTAAGCGCAAAAAAGCGACGAGGCCTTGCTTCACCGAAGCGAAGCGCGCTTTTTTTTTCATGTGAAGCGCAATTTAACACATAAATTAAAAAAAATAAAATAGGCATAGATAAATGGCTAAGAACTCATTAAAAATAACATATTAAGCAAAAAAACATAACAGTTAATTCACACGAACCAGAAAATAGAGCATAAAGCAGATGATAAAGCAGAAAACAAAGCACAAAGTAGAACAGAAGAAGAAGTCGTTTAGGGCACAAAATCAGTGCTTAAAAAGTGAAAAATTGAAAGAAGAAGAGAAAAATAGGGCAGAAGAACAAACATAAATTAGATGTGTAGCACAGAGCAATAGAAAGTGAAAAAAATAGAAAGAAGAAGAAGAATCGAATAAGAAGAACAGACGACGAAGAAGAAGAAGAAGAAAAAGAAAAGAAGAAGTCGTTGAAGAAACTTACCGAGAACTGGAGAAGAAGTCGTTGGAGCAGCAGTCGTCGTCGCTGGAGTTGGAGCAGCAGAAGAGCGTATGTTTATTTGTTAACAGATGGTTTATTTGCCAAAATTTTTTAAAAGAAAACCCTAGCAGATGCCTTCTGCTCGCTTAAGCACGCTTTTTTCCGCTTTTTCCATCGAGGCGCTTCTCGCTTAAGTTAAAGTGTGCGCTTTTTAAATGTGAGTCGCTTTTGTAGCAGAAAAGCGATAGCCCTGCGACTCACGTCGCTTCAGCGCTTAAAGCGAGAAGCGAGCGCTTTTAATAACACTGGGTTGGCCTTGGGTGGTCTGAAGAGGGGTAAAGGTAGGCCGAAAAAGTACTGGGGAGAGGTTATTAGGCAGGACATGGCATTGCTTCATCTCACCGAGGACATGACCCTTGATAGGAAAGTGTGGAGGTCGAAGATTAGGGTAGAAGGCTAGTAGTTTGTCGAGTGTGTGTCTTCCCCATACCGGTAGTAGTAGTAGTCAGCCTTGTATTTCGTTTATTGACAGCCTTGATTACTACATGTTTTCTTGTTATATTGCTGTTGATGCTCCTTGTTCTCTTATTATCTTGCTATTCTTACTGCTTGTTTTCTTATTATCTTGCTGTTGGTATTGGTTGTTGTTACTGTTCTCTTTTTCTTTCCTTGAGTCGGGGGTCTATCGGAAACATCCTCTCTACCCTCAAGGTAGGGATAAGGTCTGCCTACACACTACCCTCCCCAGACCTAACTTGTGGGATTATACTGGGTTTTTTGTTGGTTGTTGTTGTTGTTCCGTAAATTAATGTGTTAATCCGAGCACTGCACTTCTTGAAGATATTAACAACTTCATGAAAATAGTGGAATCTCAAGAAAATATCGACTTTGTGGTCAATTTTGTCTTATGGGATTTATCTTTTTAGGTTGAACTTTTGGGGCTATTCTACTGTCAATTTCTTTTCTCCAATGGGAAGATACTCATCTGCTGGTCTAAGTAACTGTGGCCTCGGCGCAATAAACGAGTTTAAGTATCTTGTTAAGGAAGCACATAAACGTGGAATCGAGGTGACTAATTACTGGAGAAAACTATGGGTTTGTTCTCCAAAATTTGGTATATTCTCTTCTGATTGTTCATTGGCAGGTTATCATGGATGTTGTTTTCAATCACACTGCTGAAGGAAATGAAAATGGTCCCATTGTATCATTTAGAGGCATTGACAACAGTGTGTTTTATATGCTAGCTCCTAAGGTATGATTGTCACTACTAATCCATGCATGTCTCTATGTTGGTGTTAGTTTTTTAGCTCAGTTTTTGAAAGGAAACAAAAGAGAGTCCATACTCTATTTTAAGTTCCATATATGGAATCATTTGCTTTCTCTAAAATTTGTTATTGTGAAGTTGCTCCCCTGTTATGAAATTGATTAGTTCTTCGAATCATGGAAATATACTTTTTGCTATTCTAAGATAATTAACCCTGCTGCAATTGCTTTTACTTAATTAATAAAAGAAAACAATAAACCCTGCATTGTGGTATTCTCCACCTTAAGTTGTGAGGCTTCATTTTATGGCGGTAAGCACTTTAGTGACGGTAAGCAAGCTACTACGTCAGCAATGAGTCATGCCTTTCAATCCTGTCATCCTGGTTGAAGCACTAAAATAGAGACTTTGTGTAGTGCCATAAACTGCTGCCCAATGGGTGAACTTAAATATAAAAGCTTGTCTAATTGCTGCTAAAGAAAGTCATACCAGAATAGTTATAACATTTGGTTGCTTGGAATTTTGTGATGTTATGTGGCTTCTTTCATGGTTGGTGCTTTTCTATGAAGAATAGGGACTCACAAGATGCTGAGTCATGTATATTTCTTGCTATACTCATTCCGGGGTCATTGTTTTTCCATTGGTAGAGAACATGTATCTACAAAGGATCTGGTGTGTCAACAAAGTTGTATTAGGAAAAAAACAATCTATTATTTAAACATTAGTAAACATGTTCTTCCTTCAAGTTCACTTCCTTAAGAAGGAAAGTTTTATTTTCTGAAGTAATTTAGAATTATCATATTAAACCTTGGACTTTAACTCTCTGACTCCATGATAAATATACATCTCATGGCTTTGCAGGGAGAATTCTACAACTACTCAGGATGTGGAAACACCTTCAACTGTAATCATCCCATTGTACGACAATTTATAGTGGATTGCTTGAGGTAAGCTAGTTTCATCATTTCATCTGCCGGATGCCAGCGTACTTTCTAATTGTTGTTGCTCTGTGAAGATGATAACATGTATTACAACCTATTTTGGAAAAGCAAATGCAAAAGCCACCTGCTAAATTATTTTAACTTTTTAGGACTGAAAAGAAGACTTCAGGGAGCCAAAATACATACCATAAATTTAGTTAACATATATGTGGTTTCAACTCTGACAATATGTCAGGGACCTGAGTAGGTAGATAAACTTCTCTGCTATTTTAAAGGCTCAGATTTCCGTTTCTTTAATGAATGGGGGTTCCTTTACAGTCTATATCCTGCATATGAGTTGCATATTTTCTGCTCTGACCATGAAATGTCCTATGTTGATTATAATAGAAAAGGTATACTTTGATCTCTCGACAGATATTGGGTTACTGAAATGCACGTAGATGGCTTCCGCTTTGATCTTGCTTCTATCCTTGCAAGAAGTAGCAGGTATTTCTGCATAGCCTCGTATTTCTTGTCCTTGTTGAAATGTTGGTGAAAAGTAAGTTTTTTTCTCCTTGAATTTTCAGCTTGTGGGATGCTGTAAATGTCTATGGAAATTCAACTGATGTTGACGTGATCACCACAGGCACTCCTCTCACAAGTCCACCATTGATTGATATGATTAGCAATGATCCAATACTTCGTGGAGTAAAGGTACTTAAGTTTCCTTATGTGTTCCTTTTGAGAAAATAAGTTAATTTCCACTTTCCTTTAGGAGGACTAGTATGTTACTGCCATGGCACCATTTAAGGACAGCAAATGCTATCTCGAACTGGCTTCGACTTTCTTCTGATGATCTGTACATTTATGATGTTATCAGCTCAATTTTTCGTTCAAAGAGATGATGTGCCTAATTTTACTTGTATCTTTTTACTTTTGCAACTTTTGCCACCTGAATTTTGGCATGTTCCTTTTCTTTGGGTGATAAAATGCCTAAAGTTTCCTCTTTATAACAGCTTATAGCTGAAGCGTGGGATTGTGGAGGCCTTTACCAAGTTGGCACGTTTCCGCACTGGGGTATCTGGTCGGAGTGGAATGGAAAGGTTAGTTTGGAGACATTTTTGGGTGACGACTATCTTCATTTCAGGTTGTTCATAGTTTGAGGATATGAGAACGCAGACAACTGGAAAGAGAACTAAAGTAATAGACTCATTTCATTTTATTAGTAAAGGTTTCATGCATAGTAAGTAGAGTTTCAGCTGTTTCTTTAGGCTTCCTGTCTCATGAGCTAGAATCTTATACTCCCTCCGTCCCAATTTACGTGATGGTGTTTGATTGGATACGGAGTTTAAGAATGAAAGAAAGACTTTTGAAATTTGTGGTCTAAAATAAGCCGTAGAAATTTGTATTGGCTATAAATAATTTCATTAAGGTTAAAACAGTATTTTCAAAGGCGCACTTAAGCGCTGAAGAGAGGCACAAAATATGTTGGGCGCTTCGCCTCGCTTAGCGGACGCTTCAGTCTCGTCATCAAGGCTTTAGGACATGCTTTTCCTTGCCAATGAGCATAATCCTGAAGAGGCGACATTAAACAATTGATATTTCACTTTGTCGTAATTCTTTTTCAATTTCTTTGTCCATATATTCGTTTTGACGTCAGTCTGAACTACTGTCTCCCCTAGATTCAAGGTCAGCAGAAAGATCATATGATAGGTTTTTCTTCCGGAGGAAAGTTAAGACAAGAAAGAACATAGATAAAAGAATCGAAATCCTTTAGTGGGCTATTCATGCTTATAATTGTTAGTGTTGGTGACTGCCTGGACGTTTCGAGGCTTCGACTTTCATGTGAATTAGCTAGTGCTCTAATGTATGTAAAACAGATCTAACCTTTTCTTGACCAGGTTGAAAGCTTTACTGAATTCACCAAGGCCTTCTTTACTCCATAAAATAAATAAATAAATAAATAATTCACCAAGGCCTTGAAATCGGCATGCAATGTTTCTGAGGCAAATATATCAAATAACTGATGATTCCTCTTGCAACCTAACCCAAAATCACTGAGTACTTTTTCCCGTTCTTCCTAGCCAGTATGATTGCAAAAGAGACCTGAAGCTGAAGGCCGATAATGTTTTATACTTTAGTTGTAAGATTATAAATTTAAGCAATTCTAGCCAAGGGGGAATGGATTCATATATGATCTTTATCGTAGGTTTATTAACATAGGTATCAATGCAAATGAAAACATGGTATATCACATACTGGAACCATCACGAGATGCAAATTTTCAAATGTTTGAGCTTGCATTTTCTTTCTAGCTTTCTCACCATTAGAATTTGATACAGGTTTTTCCTGGAGACCTCACAGTCGCAGAAGTGGTTAGGGTGGTCAGATGACTGGCCTATAAACAACCACCCGTAGTTACACTTATAATGCTTGACTAAAATAGTAACAGTTTATACCCATTACCAAGCCGTTGCATGTTGTGTGTTATTTTGAGCTGATCAACTATGGAGCTCGGGGCTAGTCAAATGTAATTCGAGCACTCAAGTATGCAACTCTTTAGGTTCACATCCTTTGTTCTAGACACATGTCTAATCTAGGCTATCTTTAAGTTCAGGGAAGCATATTGACTATGACCTATGCTAAGTGTTTATTTAGTACTTCAATAATCTTTTAGAATATTACTTGGTGTTTGGAATTGACATGTAATTAACTGAAGTAGTTTCCTTGAAATCAATGGATATCCAAATGCTCTTAAATTCGTCAATTCAAATTGCTTGTCCTCTATTCTCTGACTCTTGAGCACACGACTAACTTCAGTAGCTAAACATCTTGCGGGTATTTCGGGGAGCAAATTGAGATTCACCCTAACCGAGTTGGATTTGTTTTATTTATGGGAAGATCTAGCTGAAATGTTTATTTTGATATAACGGGGTATCTCTGTAGGTCCTTGTTAGTCAGCTGGAAATGCACTTAACTTTAAATAGGATCAGATCCCTAGGTGCTACTAGTCAGTTAGGACTTTATTTTTCTATTGATGTCATTTAGAACATTGTTCGCTGTGTATAAATTGGTTGCGCTCTTTCTTTTCTGATATTTCCTCTTTTCCATTTCTCTCTTGGCCTGTTGCTAACCAACCTTTTCCTTTCAAACATATAAAAACAAGAAAAAGAAATGCCAACCAGCTCTCTTATGTTTTTATTTTGTTTCAGTACCGTGACATAGTACGGCAGTTCATCAAAGGCACAGATGGGTTTTCTGGGGCTCTTGCTGAATGCCTTTGTGGAAGCCCAAATCTATACCAGGTATACTACTTTAGAGTTCTTTTACCTTGTAGGTATGGTGCTATGTGAGCTATTTGCGTTCTTTGGTGTTCAATTAGGAGGGAGGAAGAAAACCATCGAACAGTATAAATTTTGTGTGTGCCCATGATGGTTTTACTTTGGCTGATTTGGTGACGTATAATGATAAACACAATTTGGCAAATGGAGAGGACAACAAAGACGGCGAGAATCACAATAATAGCTGGAATTGTGGTGAGGTAAATCTCTATGCACGAGTCTATATATCTTTTGAATCTTTTCACTTATTGAAGCTATTTTGGTGGTTGGCGTCACACTGTATAAAAGCAGATTGTTTTAAAAGTTCAAATGCTATATTTTCCTTTCTTTTGCTCTGAGATTGATACTGAATAATGTCCAATATCGTAGCATTCACATCCGTGTATTAGTGCATTTGGAAGTATCTGCATTTTCCTTGTTCTCAGTCTTGTGATTAATTGTATGTTGTAATTGATTTTTTATGATGAGCTTTCACGGCACTTCATACCGTCTCTGTGTCCCTTACTTCATGTATGAACTCTGCATGTACCATCTTGTGTGTTGTAATTAATAGCACGAGTTGTTCTTTCTGTTTTCTGTAGTACTAACATTCTCCTTAAATTAGTAAAAAGTAGCACCACTTAATAATATATCATACACGGAATGGTGTCTCTGTGGATGCGGCAAAAATTGGTTGTAAAAAGAAAATGAGTGTTATTTCATAGATTTCTAGTTGCTGATTCCTTGTTAAAATATCTTTTAGTTACTTCACCCAATGAAATAGATCATCATATTAGTTTTATTATAGTTAATATGGTGCTCGACTTCCCTACTGAGACTTGATCTTAGGGTTACTTGAAAAGGATTCTGTTACGCTTCTGATAATGAGATGTTCCAGCATGGCTAGCTTCTTGTTTGAGTATGACACCGAGGAAATTCAGATAATGTTTAGGCCGGTCAATTTAGTGTTATGGGTGCTTCCAAAAGTTTTTCAATGTGGATATGAAGGCCTGTGCAGTACCTTACCATGATACCTCGGGCTTTTTTGTTTTCATTTATAACAAGCTACTTCTTCAATGTAGGAAGGAGAGTTTGCAAGTATCTCCGTGAAAAAATTGAGGAAAAGACAAATGCGAAATTTCTTTCTCTGCCTTATGGTTTCCCAAGTAAGTTCAATTCTCCGCTTTTGATGTTATTCAATAGAAAGTAACAGGTAAAAGCACCAACATGTTGATGTAATAGGAGATTGGATTGTCTTTTGCCTGCTTCTCATCAATTTTGTATTATGAAATCTGATCATCCAACCTAAAATCTTAAGGTAAGGAGTGCCACAAGACAGTGTATACCGCTATTGACCCCATTCTTTACTCAATGTCTGACATTATATAACTCGACACCTCCTACACGCGGGATCCTACTTTGGAGTTTCATGTATGGACTTGAATGCGGATTTACAAGTGTGAGATGGTTTATTAAAGTTTGGCTCTAATACCACGTGAAAGGTTTTGAGCGTCCAACCAAAATTCAAGGCAAGGATAAGTCCTAGACCTTTAGGTACCCATCTGGAGGGCTTTCTATATGGCTATACCTAATGTGGGATAATATAACTCAACAATATAGTTTAATCTTATGATTTGTGTAGCTACTTCATTTTGCCTAGAAGTTCGTGCATTTATTCTTTTCGAAATGGTTGTTCCTACTCAATCAGATAACCATTTCTTTGATATATATTTTCTTCTTATTATTAATGTTTTTCGATTTGTGGTTCTTCAGGGCGTTCCCATGATATATATGGGCGACGAGTATGGTCACACTAAAGGAGGAAACAACAACACATATTGCCATGATAATTATGTAACTGTTTACTACAATTGATAGTACTACTATTCCCAGATATAGGTCAATACGTAGGTTCACTAATTGCAAGCCCTTTCTATAGATTAACTACTTCCGATGGGATAAGAAGGATGAATCTTCATCGGATTTTTTCAGATTTTGCTGCCTTGTGACCAAATTCCGCCAGTAAGAATCTAGCCTTTTTTTTCTTCCCCTTTCTTTCAGTTTCCGGTACTTTCTCAGCTATTAACTGTTATTTGCGCTTGCAGCGAATGCGAATCACTGGGATTAGATGGTTTCCCTACGGCAGAGAGGCTGCAATGGCATGGTCATGCTCCTGGAACACCAGATTGGTCTGAAACAAGTCGATTTGTTGCGTTTACACTGGTATTCCAGTAATTTTCGTTTGTATTTAGTGGTATCATGACTTAACTGTGACTTCTTACCCAACTTCTGTGAGGAACCTTAGTGTCAGACCTATTCCCAGTATCTCAAGTATTGTCACCTTTCACTTTTCTGAGAGTCAACTTCACTAATACTTTTTTAAGGTTTTCCTAAACATATTTTTCATACTTTAAGATAAAAGTTTTTTCATAAAATAGTATATTTTATTTAGTTTTTGCATACCTAAATAGAGTATAAGTTATATGCACTTTCAGTGTAAAGAGTTTTTACACTGTCGGTCTATTTTAAGCTATTATATCAGATTGCTTTCCATTTTTTAAGTTTACCAATTAAGGTTTGTATAAGTAATTGCTATTAGTTGTCTTTTAACTCACCTAATGGTGTAAATCTTCTTTACACCGTCAGTGCATAGAGCTTATACTCATCTAAATATTAGGTTCAAATGATGAATTTATCCCTTAAATCCCCATTAACTTAACTGTCAGAAAGCATAAATTGCAAATAATTTTTGACGGGAGGAGTATAATTGTAAAAACATTATCTTGTGATCATGGGAGACCTCTAATAGATTATAATCATATTTCACATGCCTAATCAGAGACGCACATATTTTAGTAGCTTCACTACTGTATCTACTGATTGATATATACGCTTGAATCAAAATGCAGGTCGACAAAGTGAAAGGGGAATTATATGTTGCCTTTAATGCCAGCCATTTGCCTGTAACAATTACACTTCCAGATAGGCCTGGTTATAGGTGGCAGCCTTTGGTCGACACTGGAAAACCAGCACCATATGACTTCCTCACAGATGACCTTCCAGGGAGAGAAACAGCAGCCAAACAGTATTCTCATTTTCTCGACGCCAACCAGTATCCAATGCTCAGTTATTCATCCATTATTCTTTTACTTTCAACTGATAATGATGCTTAGTTTCATTGGAGCTGGGCGAGGTAAAGCTGCTTCAGTATCTATAGCTGCAGACCTGCAGTGAGTGTTTTGTAAATACATGTGCAAAGCAGGATAGACGGCAACTGGATAGAAGAACTCGAGGAAGAAGCTGATGGTTTTTTAAGATACACCGAGTATCATAATAGTATTTATGTAAGTTTCCCAGTTATCTCCAAATTAGTCGTTATGAAGGATATTACCTTATCTAGAACAGGAGAAAGGACCTATTTTTTTGGGTAGATTAAAAGATTAAGGGGACCGAGCTTGAAAGTGAACTCGGTAGCACTGGCTTATCCTATTATGTTTTCCTACAGCAGGTTACGGTCTCAAGACCTGTTAGCCTACGTTGCGACTAAAACTCGAAAATTCAAAACTAAGGTTATGGTTCCAAAATCCCAGCGGAGGCAAAAAATACTCGTAGAATTCTTTCCATCTATCCAAGCCATGGGAGATAGCAGCGCAAGCTGGTCCGAAGGAGGCGAATCTAGAATTTTTAGAACATGAGTGCACCATTAAAAAAGCGAGAAAAAAGTACCTTCGAATAAATAACTTATCATTCAACCAATTACACCATTCAACCTTTTTGAAGCATGGGCACCAATAATATAATATCGATCAATTTTACAATATATATACATAATATACCTAACTTGACAGAAAGATCATGGATTCATGTTAAAATAGCACGGTCTAGCTAGTTTTCGGACTGATCATTCAAAAATAGCCAACGTTTACCAAGTCGATGAAAAATAGCTACTATTTTGTTGCAACAGAGACTGGTCCAGCATAATATACTGGAGTTCGGTGCACTTGTGTATGAACTTCCAGCATATTATGCTAGAACTCCAACACACGGAAAGTTCCGGCATAATATACTGGAGATTCGAGCACTTGTGTATGAACTTCCAGCATATTATACTGGACCATTAAACTTTGCTGGAACTCCAGTATATTATGCTGGAGTTCTAGTGTACTTATGCTAAAACTCCATCATATTATGCTGGAGTTCCAGCATACTTATCCTGGAACTCCAGTATAATATGCTGGAGTTCAAGTATACTTATGCTGGAACTCCAGCATAATATACTGGCGTATTTTCCGGGTTCTGAACAGTGTTTTCGCTCAGATTTATCTTTACATGAAAAGTGGTTAAATTTCGATTACTTTTGAAACTGGGCTATTTTTGAACGACCACTTGGCTATTTTTGAATTTCTCCCTGGATTCATGTGTACAGTAAAAAGGGCCTAAATCCGCCCCTGGGTCTGACACCACGATTATGGTTCCAAATCGTTCTTTAGTAATAAAATCAGCTTTAGAGTCGTCGCCCTTTAGTTTAGGTGGTGAGTAAACTACTCTTTTGAAGAGATTAGGAGATCGGTACCGTAAAAAATGAAAATAAAAAGGTTTGCCTTGAAGGGTTTTTCAGGTGGAAAGTTACCACTGACACTTGTGAACTCTTTAATTAAAAGAATCTTTAGCTAAGCTTTGGAAACGGATTTTTCAAAGATGTACATTCTCTGTTCCCAATATCTGGTCATATTTTGCTGCATGAGGAAGGCTACAACCCTTGGCAAAAAGGCCCTGACACTCCAACGTCCTTACCACAAGACACCATAAACAACAACAATCCGACAACGCACAAAAGCAATCCAATAAAAGAATCAGAGGTTTTATGCGGGACTGATCCTAGCATGCAGCTTTCTTGTTATTTCAATCCCATGTTCCAACACAGATTTCGTTGAGATAGGACATTATCAAGGCACCACTAGTAGTGACGATCGAAAAATGGAGTGTGCAACTTATTAAGAACCCAGATAATCCCATTCACCAACATCGCTAACCAGAGAATTCCCTTTTCTGACTTTGCGTATTTAGAAGCTATTTATCTTTTTATATTCCAAAAAATTGAATTTTTAATAGGAATTCAAACTAAAACTGTAAGGCCCCATAAAATTTCACCTAAAACCCGGGGTTTCGTGGCGTCAAGGTAGAGTAATGTATTTGAGGGTTTTAGAACAGGGCGTTTCTGCGGTCCATTATGCGATCGCAGGACTGGTGTGCGGACCGCAGATCCGCCGCAGAGTGAAGTAGAGAAACGCGCCAAAGTTTGGAAGTTATTTTGTGGTCAATTATACAACCGCATAATCGTTTTGCGGGCCGCACATTCGTCGCAGATCCAGCATGAGGAATTGCCGTTCGTCCCGCCAGAGTGTGGGCAGGGGTACGATGCAGCCAGCCGATTCTACAGCTACTACATCCACAGCGCCTTCCCCAGCCCGAGGCACTCCAACTCCCGCAGGGCGTGGTGCAGCTAGGGGAGATATCCAGAGCTTGGGAGGGCCCAACAAGTTTTATGCTATGAGGAGGCATCAAGATCCAGAGGCTTCTCCAGATGTTGACACAGGTATATTGACTGTCCAATCTCATGATGTATATGCTCTTATTGATCCCGATTCCACTTTCTCCTATGTCACTCCTTATGTTGCTATGGAATTTGGTATAGAACCAGAACGACTTCATGAACCGTTCTCCGTATCTACTCCGGTTGCTGAGTCTATTGTGGCCGCGCAGGTTTATAGGGACTGTGTTGTCACGGTGCATAGTCGGGACACCATGGCCAATCTCATTGAGTTAGCGATGATTGATTTTGATGTAATAATGGGGATGGACTGGCTTTATTCATGTTTTGCCAAGCTTGATTGCCAAACCAGAGTCGTTAGGTTTGAATTTCCAAATGAGCCAGTTATTAAATGGAAGGGGGATAATGTGGTGCCGAAGGGTAGGTTTATTTCTTACCCTAAGGCCACGAAGATGATCAACAAGGGGTGTATTTACCATTTGGTCAGGGTTACGGACACCGATGCTGAGGCACCAACACTTGAGTCCGTGCCTATTGTGAATGAATTTCCTGAGGTCTTTCCGGATGATCTCCTGGGATCCAACCAGACAGGGAGATTCATTTTGGGATTGATGTAATGCCGGGCACGCAGCCTATATCTATTCCACCCTACAGAATGGCACCGACAGAATTGAAGGAACTAAAGGAACAATTGAAGGACTTGCTCAAGAAGGATTTCATCCGGCCAAGTGTATCACCTTTGGGTGCACCGGTTCTCTTTATAAGGATGAAAAATGGGTCACTAAGAATGTGAATTGACTATCGGCAACTCAACAAGGTCACGATCAAGAATAAGTACCCATTGCAAAGGAAGATGACTTGTTTGATCAATTACAGTGTGATAAGTATTTCTCCAAGATTGATTTAAGATCCGGGTATCACCAACTAAAGATCGGGGGGCAGGATATTCCAAAAACAGCTTGCAGAACTCGGTGTGGGAACTTTGAATTTCTTGTAATGTCTTTTGGGCTAACGAACACCCCGGTAGATTTTATGGATCTTATGAACCGAGTTTTCAAGCCATTCCTCGACTCTTTTGTGATACTGTTCATCAATGATATTCTAGTATATTCACGCAGTCGAGAAGACCATGCCGATCATCTCAGGGCGGCTCTGCAGACCCTGTATCAGCACCAGTTGTATGCGAAGTTTTTGAAATGTGAATTTTGGCTTGAATCTATCACATTCTTGGATCATGTTGTCTCTAGAGAAGGAATTAAGGTTGATCCTCAGAAGATTGCAGCGGTGAAGAATTGGCCTAGACCAACAACTCCAACAGAGATTCACAGTTTCTTGGGCTTCGCTGGGTATTACAGAAAGTTTGTGGAAATGTTTTCTACTCTTGCCTCTCCATTGACTTAATTGATGCAAAAGGCAGTTAAGTTTCAATGGTCAGATGCTTGTGAAAGGAGCTTCCAAGAGTTGAAATCGAGATTGACTACAGCACCGGTGTTGACCCTACCAAAGGGTACAAAAGGGTTTGTGGTATATTGTGATGCTTCGAGAACCGGACTAGAGTGTGTATTGATGCAACATGGCAAGGTGATCGCTTATGATTCTAGGCAACTCAAGAACCATGAGAAGAACTATCCAACACATGACTTAGAGCTCGCGGCAGTGGTTTTTGCATTGAAGATTTGGCGTCATTATTTGTATGGGGTCCATGTAGATATATTCACGGACCATAAGAGCCTTCAATTTTTTTTCAAACAGGAGGAATTGAATCTGAGCTAGGGAAGATGGCTTGAGTTACTTAAAGATTACGACATCGATATCCTATATCGTCCGGGGAAGGCTAATGTTGTGGCGGATGCTCTTAGCCGGAAATTTATGGGATGTTTGACTCACTTGGAGGCATATCAAAGGCTGTTGGCCAATGAGTTTCATCGGTTGGATAGTTTTGGAGTTCGTCTTGCGGACTCTAGTGAAGGCGGGGTGATGGTGCAAAATAGGGCCAAATTACCGCTTGTTGTGGAAGTCAAGGAGAAGTGGTACGGAGATCCGTTGTTGGTACAGTAGAAGGAAGGAATTCATAAACATAAGACCATGGATTTTTCTCTTGGCATGGATGATGGCACACTAAGGTACCAAGGGTGATTATGTGTCCCAAATGTAGATGGTCTCCAGGAATGAATCATGACCGAGGCTCACACTTCAGGTATTCCGTACACCCAGGCTCTACAAAGATGTATCATGACCTCAAGAAGGTCTACTAGTGGAATGATATGAAGAGGAATGTAGCAGACTTTGTGGCAAGATGTTCAAATTGTCAACAAGTGAAGGCCGAACACCAATGGCCCGCGGGTTGGCACAGAACATAGAAATTTTGATGTGGAAATGGGAGATGATCAACAAGGACTTTGTGGTAAGGCTACCTCGTACTCCTCGCAAGTTCAACTCGATTTGGGTGATTGTGAATCGACTCACGAAATCAGCACACTCCTTACCTGTTAAGGCTACCGACACAACAGAACAGTATGCTCAGTTGTATATCAAGGAAATAGTCAGGTTGCATGGCACTCCAGTTTCTGTCATTTCTGATCGCGGGGCACAATTCAGAGCTAACTTTTGGAAGAAATTTCAGCAAGGTTTGGGTACTCAGGTGAATCTTAGTACAACCTTCTACCCACAAACAGGCGGACAGGCAGAGCAAACTATTCAAATGCTTGAGGATATATTGCGCACTTATGTTCTTGACTTCAAAGGTAGCTGGGATGATCATTTGCTACTCATAGAATTTTCCTACTACAACGGTTATCACACTAGTATTCAAATGGCACTATTCGAGGCCCTATATGGTAGGAGATGTAGATCTCTTATTGGATGATTCGAGATTGGGGAAGCAGAGTTGATAGGACCAGACCTCGTGCATCGGGCTATGGAGAAGGTTAAGATCATT